TATATATATATTAGAATATTGTATTTTATAATAAATATTAGAATATAAATATATATTAGAAATTGTATTTCTATATTTATATTTTATTTATATCCTATTTTCTTCATTCATGTAAAAACATACGAAAAATGCAGGTTTTATCGCTATGAAATATGCTCCAACTGGGTGTAGAGCGCAGATACGAAGTCTAGATCTGTTGTTTGCAGTACGGTAAACAAGGGAGTCACGTATACAATGAAATATAGCAGTACAGATGCAAAGGCTAGGGAGTTTTTCTACCATCATCTATCACTACTCCCAATGCATCTTTTATGGAACTTATATGAAAATAAGCTTGCTATTTTTTTGTTTTTTTTTGTTTTGTTTCGTTTTTCTTTCATGTTTTTTATTTTTTTATTTTTTTTTGTCATGATACGGATAATTTTCATTTTATAAATAAACACTCGCGTAGGTAACGAGTTTCACATAATTAACTTCGTTAATATAATTAAATTATCGAATTATTTTAATGAGTAATTTTTTCTTTTTTTTGCTAATTATTTACGACAAATATTTCGAAAATAATGGTAAAAATTTAAAGAATACAACTAATCCATTTATTCTATCAATTTATTATTCATTTAATTATATATATATATATATATAATGAATTTTTTCTTTATACTTTATTTTATTATGGCTCAATAATATATCGTCTTATATTTTATTAATAATAATTGAACCGTTCAGTGCACACATCGATTAACAACTCGACTTTTTGTAAAATCTTAAATTTAAGTGTCAAACCACTTGGTGTATAGTCGTCATAACTCTTTTTATATTTATAATAACTTTTCTGAATAATAAATAAATAATAAATAAATAATAAAGATTAACACACCATTAAACGGCAAAATGTTTTTTTTGCGTCCATTGAAAGAAATTTAAAGAACAATATACATTATTTCATCGCATTTTTTTTTCAACTTTTTCTTTTATGAAGTTTAATCGATGTGTGCACTGAACGGCTCAATTATAATTGAAATATTTATATCTCTATGGAAATTTATAAAAGTTTTTTTATAGTAAGCAATATATTCATTCATGAAAATCCCATACGTTATTTACCATGAAAGTTTGAAAAGTTTCTTACCGACGTATGGTATCCGCAATCACGATGATGTATGGAGTGATGCATGTTTTTAGGCGCACTATATTTCGTCTTGATAATGTTCATTTTCGTTCGTAAAATTATTATGAAAATATGTATTTAAATTTATTCAATGATACATATATATATATATTAAAATATTAAGCATATATACCGTATGCTATTACAACAAGTTCATACTTATATAACGAGAAAAGAGAAAAATCATAATGATACGATATGGTTATCTTTTGGTAATTCCTGTGGGAAATCTATCACTCAATATCCAACGTTTCGTTTCTCGGCTAATAACACACGATAACGCAAATTTGCAATTTCGATTAATGCAAATATTGTTTATTTTAAAATTAACATTCGCTATCGTGAAATTTCATACCAAATCGTCCATTTGATAAAGTACATTCGTATAGGAATTTAAATTCAAGTTAATAATATAGAAGCACGATGTAAAAATAATGATATTGGTTATATTTTGCAAATAGATTTTTGCAATTTTATTTGAACATTCGAAGTACCATAAAGACTGTCGATAATCCGATACATAATGCAATCACCGTGAGTTGTCACTTAAGGTAGACAGTATATTACGATAAATGAGTTAGCACCGGTACGGAGTACACTTAGTAAGTGAATTTAATATGATGAACTTTTCTTTCTCAACTTTTTGCAACTTACTTGTAGATGATCCATTTTAGGTTTATAGAATTAATGCAGCTGCAACAGCTCATGTAGGTGGCAGTTGTGATAGGGCATCTGTGCGTCCACTGTCCTAGCTTTCATGTTACTTGATTATGTACACCAGA